AATGAATAAATGAGTTAACAAGCATGCACCGGGTACGTGAAAGAAAGTGTCATGGCAGGGAAGGTTCGTCAGAGAATTATCTGAGCTAAATCTTAAGCAATGAGGATCTAAAATAGGCAAATACAGGAGTAAGCAAAAGCCTGTGCACAGAGGATATACGACGTATGCCACAGAGGGGCTCAGCTGGAACGCAGTGAACGGTAATGGCACGTGAGATAGAACCAAAACAAAATGCTTAGCTGTTCGAATTCTAAAAACAAAAACCAAAACCAAAAAACCTATCGATTTTGAAGCATTTCTCTCGGGAATTATTCTTACCAACCACACAAAGACTGGGACTACTTGGGATGGAAAAATGACTTGAAGGTCCGAGTGTACAAAAGTTCTCCTTTGCTCTTCGACATTTCTCTACATTAAACCATTTTTTAAAAAGATTTTACATTAAACCATTTCTATTCCTTTCCAAGATTAAAGTCAGCAATTGCACTTGCTTATGCTAATTATTTTTTTTTAAGATTTTATTTATTTGACAGAGAGAGAGAGAACATAAGCAGGCAGAGAGGCAGGCAGAGACAGAGGGGGAAGCAGGCTCCCTGCCGAGCAGAACCCGATGTGGGGCTTGATCCCAGGACCCTGAGATCATGACCTGAGCTGAAGGCAGAGGCTTAACCCACTGAGCCACCCAGGCACCCCTAATTATTTTTTATAAAAGTACACAAAGTCATCATTATAGTAGCCATGTGAGACCATCTCCCATCCTCATGTGACAAATGAGGCAGCACCAGGCTCAACAAAACGGAGACTTGTCCAAGATGGCCCAAACTCTCCATCTGGAGCTCAGGCTAACCTGGATTCACAGGATTCAGTAGGTCCCACCTTCTCTGGGGGTCCCTGGGACCCTGTCTCTTCAAGACACATGTGCTTTTAGCTCCTCCTTTTTGATCTGTTCTGGCTCCTCAGTCTATTTTTCTCAACATGTGTCATGATTCTATTTCCTGCCATCTTTACAAGAGTCCTCTTTACTGCTGCTTCACCACTCAGTGTTTAGCAATCAGATCTATGTCCCCACCTAGCCAGGTAACCCTAAGCCTTACATATGTTATACCCGACAGGAATTCCCTTTTTCCTTCTGTCCACAAAATAACACTAACGGAAATGGTTTATGAGCCATACAAGCAGATGACACAGACCTCACAATGGAAGAGACTGGAGAGATATTCAATAAGGGAGATATTCCTTTTTTCCCACTCTGAAACATTTAAGTGGCAAGCTGATGTGTGTTCCATCATGGTCTCTTCAAACTATGATGTACAAACTGGAAAATACACTATTGGCTGTTACTTTCCCTGCACATCTTGTGCGCTGCCAAATCCTTACAGTTCAGCCCCGAATGCTAATCTTTGCCATTTCACGTAGCTAATGGCAACCTGAGTCCTCTCTCTTCTCATTGTGCAAAAAGGACCTCAGCTCCCTCAGCTGACTATCTTTGGCCTCCCAGTCACCAGTCACCACACCTCCAGTCTAACCAGCTTGCTCCCATGACACGTCTCTCCTAAAACAAAGGTCTGGTCACATTACTCTTTCTCACAAACTACAAGTTCCTACTGCCTTTAAAATGAAGACAATTTCTCCAAATGTTTCATTTCTGATCCCCAACTTCTCAGACTTCTCTCTCAATGTATTCTTTTCATTCATGCTGGCTATTCCACATTCCTTGCCCATGAATCCACTTTTAAACCTCCTTCCTTCTCCCTTAACTTGGGAATACCCTTCCTTATACTAAGGCTCAAAAAATGCCTCCTCTGTAAAACCCTCATTTCCTCTGACCAATCTCTCCCTGTGTTCCTTCAGCATGGTTCTTGTTCCTCCACACAACACTATTTCAATCAGGCTGACCAAACTCTCATCCATTTTTCTTTCATTACCGTAACCCAGCTTCCAACAGAGGAACTTAGATATTTATGCATTCATCAACTGACAAAATTAAATGTTAGAATTCTAACATTAACAAAGCATATCTGAAGTGTTTTAATTTCAAAGTTCAAAGACATCCTGGTGCATTAAGGGTAAAGCTAAAAAAATTTTTAAACCCTAAAATCAGTACAAATTGATTATTTACATGAAGTCAATGGACTTTTGAAGGTACAATACTAAAATAAATGGAGTACCTAGCCTGGAAAGGATAAACTACTCCCATCTTATTTAGCGTCACTAGGGTATTACAACTGGGTGGATATTGCCGCAACATTTCGATGTCTGCTTTTGCCACCCAGTCTCTCCCTGGAGGCCTCTCCGATGACTGTGATAAAACACAGTGAATGCACGCACGAGGCTGGCAACCACATCAGCTGATGGAGAAGCAGTGATCAGGTAAAGACCTACCTCCGGTCCTGTCCTTTCCTCAGAGCAGGGGAGTCTGAGTGCAGGTGAGGGTGGGGACAGCATGTATAAGATGGTTTTCTGGAGCATGCGGAGCAAGATAAAGGGGTGTAGTCCTGTAGAGACATCCTAGATGTATATAATGAGTGATCTTGATACTCACAGAGCAGTGTGGCCAGCACAAGCAAAGAGAATACACGCTTGGCAAAGGTGAAAACACACTCAAAGCTGAAATCCCAGTTTATTTTGAAATAGACCCTCTTTAAACTTATTTTGACCAAGTGGCCATGATGACTGTTCTCCCACATGGTTACCAAGAACTAGTAGGTTAAGGGCACTGAACAAAATTCCTTTTAGGTGAAGTTTCTCTGGAGATTTTAAACACAAAGAAAACCAAGACCAGACAAACCAGAAAACCAGGGTGATATTTTAGGCTCTTCCATTCTATATAAATCCAAATCTAAGGAGCCTTAGTACTACTACCTCTTGATCCCAATCCACAGAAAATCTTGAAAATTACCCAGAATTTTAATTTTGTTTTCAATGAAAAAACTCTTAATTTCATATTTTTCATACCACTTTTTTCTTTTTTATTTAAAATATTATAACCAATTAACATACTAGGTAACAATGTTTACATTCCAGTGGTGCATGTTTAATGACTAGGGCATGAATGATTAAAAACCACAATAATTATCTCAGCATTCCCTACAAAGTGCCCCATTTTGTTTTGTCTAGAGGAGAAGGAGAGGGAATGGAACACAGGGAAGGAACAGGAATGAGGAAGGAATGGTGTCCTAGAGGGAGAAAAGCAAATGTCAATTATCATATGTAGGTTTCCAGGTTTTAAAACCCGTTGAACAGGATAAACTGTAATGAGAAAATAGATGTCACAGTCCAGGTAGACAGCTAAGTTCAGTTTAACTTCATCATTCAGCTAAAAGATTAAGAGCTTCTCAAAAATATACCAAATATCGGGCCTACAAAAGTAATTTATTTCTTCGTAAAATTTACTAAGATTTATTCTTTTTGTAAAATGTAAAGAATGGACTGGTATCACGAGCAGGTTTCTACTTATAAAAACAGACAGTAACGAACGAACACATCTAACACAATTTTCCAAGATATACAGTGAAAGATTTTCTACGTGAGTCTCTCTTACTGATGCAAGGTATATATTTTACACACTTACTGGTATTGTGTCGACATTGGCTATAAAGTATTTAACACACATTTATAATTCACACTCAGTAAAGAGCTTACAATAAGGGCAATAGCTTACTTGGGAAAGCATAGAAAATTAGTGTGAGGTAGTTCAATAAAAACCTAGTTTAATTTGTAAGTTATTGTGAGAATAGAACATTGTGCAAAACTAATCCACAGGTAATATTTCTCAGAAGTTTCAGGAACGAAGAGAATCTAAACTAGAAATGACCAGAAATTGCTACTCTTACAAGACTCTCCTTAGGAGCACTTAACTAAGAGCAGTTAGTCTGAAATTAATTAGGACTTTTGTTTTCCTTGTGAGTTTTCTAATAGTACCCCAAACTATACATTTCTGCTTCAATGCCCTTTACCTCTTCATCTTTCTTGCTATTAAGGAAAAATCAGTTTCCTCTGATTCAGGAAAAACCTAAGAGAGATCATAGAAACACAATGTACACTAACATGTAAAGGATTTGGAGGCAACATTTCAGAGGGCTGCTAATGACAGAACAGTGGTGTTTGGTTTTTCTACTGAGAAGAGAAGTTTACTGGGGTCATGGGGCTTCATGCATTCACTCTACAGCTAATGTGTGACTAATGAACACTCACAAACAAACTACAACAGTATTTTTGAAAATAGACTATGTCTTTACCTCAAAATGTTGTGCAGGCTTGTGCCTAGGCAACACTGAACAGGTATGTCTTCATATGTAGCACATACTGGCCCACAGTATAAACCAAGTCTTATCTGTAACCCCAAAACAGTTTCATTTGCCCACTGCTGATCTATTAGACACTGATGTCCTCTTCAGCCTCATCTTTTTAGACAAAACAGCAGGATTAACATGGAAGAGAATAATGAAAGGGTTTACAGGAAAGTTTGCTGCTTTGCATATCATCAAGCTTCTCTGTACTATGAAGGGGGCTGTGTGGTAGCCCCCTCATTTGAAAGGCTGGCATTTCTCTTAGCAAGTCTGGTGTAAAGCACTGTGCCTTGAACCAACCTGGAAGAGTGCATACCAGGAACAATCAGCAGCCAAGGGTGTGTGACAAAATGAGAACTGTTTAGCAAACAGTATGAAAAGAGTTGAGATGCTCCATTTATGCATATTATAATTAAGCAATCCCAACAACACAATCATTTTACAAATGATCAGTATACATTAAAGAGTAACAGAGTAGTAACCAGGAAGAACTGTGTAGAAGGAATTAGTGTCTCTTTCCTACAAAGCTGAATAATAAAATAATATAAAGTTGAATAATAAATCTTAGTCAAAATAATTTTCTGACAGTAAGATGATGGGTATAACATATAAAATTGAAAAACCAAAGTTGTAAGAGAAGCAAGGTGGCTTTACATAAGTACTGCTTGACAGAAATCTTACTTATAATTTCTCTTAAAAAAATCACACACAAATGTTTAAGATGTTTTAAAGGTTCAAAAAGCTTGTGAAATAAAAAGAACCAGTACATCTTTAGCTTAACAGATTTAAGAAACAAGGGAAAGTTGCATTTAGATACTGCATTTTAAAAACCTAGGGCACGCAACACTTAACAAACAGACTTTCCTTTCAGGATAGAATTTGTTAAGTATTTTAGTTTACATTAAGAATTAATTCTACATTAAGAATTCCTTTTCTCTGAATCAACTGAAACATGCTGGTTGGCAAGGAGGAGCTGGCATTTACAACAAATGTTACAAGAACACCTGGTTTTCCTTTCTTAATCAAGTTCTCTAACAATAGAGATGGCTTACTACTATCAAACAGAAAATATGGGAAACTTCTGAAAGCATGTCCATTGTTAAAGTGCAACAGTGAAATAATCTATCCTAGGGAAAATAAAGCTGATTAACTGCCAAATACAAACTAAGAACACACTCATGCTCAAATTTCTGCTAAAATCGTAAATCCAATTCTGTTTCTATAATTCAAGAGGTGTTATAGTCTCAAAATTCTAATTTGCTTAATAAAATTAATGCACCATGTTGTATGAGTAGAAAAGGGATTGATAAAAAGGCTGACAACTTCAAGAAGCTAGAAACCATGACTTGAAACTGTCAAAAACAAACCTGTTATTTCAAAGCATAGAAAAAGGCTCATGTATTTTAATCCTAAATATTGCACATTAACAATAACCTAAAATACCTAACTCAAAAGGAATCTTGCACTACATATATGAACAACATGCCAAGCGAACTTTCAGACACTGCATATTGAGATGCGCCAGTTCTGGCTCCTGTTGGTCATGAATTCCCACGGGCTTTCTGCCTAGAACCTTGACACTTACTTAAGTATCCATTTCCCAGTTCATTATGTGAAATCCTTCTTGTTTCAAAAATAACGAAAGGTACCTGGGGGCAATACAGAGAACTTGTATTTCAGAGATAATGAAACTTCAGTGACATTTCCTTAAGAAAAATTCAGTTGTGGAGAAAGAATTCTGCAGGTATAAAATGTAAACAGTTAACATACACTTGTCAGGAGCAGCGCCATTCTTACACTACTCAACATCCACATTGCATGTTTTATTGAAAATCAGGTATAAAAAAACAAAGACTCAGACTAAATAACCACCATTTATGCCTGCTCTGCTCAATGTGAAGAAACAGTCCTTAGAAAATGATATCCTATATATGGCTGTGTGCTACTATTTTCAGATGAACGGTAGGTATATTGCTCATTTGATACATCACCTACAGAATTGAAGTAGGCTTTGGAACCTCCCAACAGTTAGTATAAATATGATTATGCTACAGGTAGAATCAAATGGCCAGAAAACACCTTGAGAACTGGTGGTCAACTGACTGACACTGTGATAGGAAACCAGAAAGGTCCAAGGTCTGAGGGCCTGAGGCTGCAGGAAAGGGAAAGACCAGACTCTAGACCACTGCTGGGACCTACAGCCTGAGTAGATTAACTCAGTGTATACAAAAACAGGCTCATAGCTAGTAGAAGTGAACCATCTGTTTATTTGCATTGAAATGTATTATTCATGAAGTATCCTCTTGACTTTATGTGATCATAAGCTTTGAGCATGCCACAAATTTGCAGAAAATACCATATTCTTTTAAATTTACTTTTGTTGTGTGGGGTTGGGGAATAAGACGGTGGTAGCAGACGCCCAGCATCTTCGAAGACATGCTCTGAGTTATACTGCCATTTAGATGATGGGGCCTTTGCCAAAAAACAATGTAGGGTACCTACCAATTGTTGTAATTAAATTAGGATTGGCAAGTAGCAAATATTGGAGGTTTTTTAACGCGTTCATCATTTACAGTAGTTATTCCTGAATACAACTGGCTACAGGTTATTTTCCCTCACTCCTCTGGGGTTATTTCATTGATAAGCACATAACCCTGAAGGATAGCATCATGAACAAAACATTTGAAATAAAATTCTAATAAAAAAACCTATAAAAATCTTAAATAATTCATGATATAGGCAAGTCACCACATAATAGTTGTTTTGATAAACAAAATTTTACAAATTCAATAAAAAAAAATCAGCAGCATAAGATAAAGCAAAAATGCAAAAATTTTAAACCATGATAAAATAATTAGGTTTACATTATACAGTTAATTACAGCAAAAATACAATACAGTTTTGTTGCTGTTTTAAAACACAACTTAAGTTTTAAATTACATCACTTGAAATTAAAAAAAATAAACTACTTTACTACAAAATGAATTCGACATTTTTGAAAAAATCACTCAAAAATAAGACCACTGAATTGTTTTCAAAGTAGTTCTATCAATGACTAAATGACTCCCCATCCCCCCACCCCCCAAAGGCCCAAGTAGTCATCTACAGCAGCCCAGAGGTCCAGCTGATGCTTCTAGACTGCTGTCTGTATCTGAAGCCAAAGTCGGATCTGTTGACATTGAAGACACATCATTGACAGACGATGATGACGATGGATGCTGAGAGCCATTGATCACTGCTGCACCTGTGCTATGAGAAACAAAACAGCAAATCAGTTGCAGACAGAGTTGTACACCAAGCTACCTATACTGTACTGGCTACCTCTAGTGGTCAATACCTTTTTTTCTCTTGGCTTTGAAAAGGCTCATCAGGTTGTGCGTGAATAATACTGATAATACATGCAAAAGTGTCTGTACTGCATTTTGTCAGAGAGATCTCAAAGAGATACATGACCCAAAAAGTTAAAAACTAGTGCCCTAATAAAAATGACTTATGTTATCTTCTCATTGTAAACTTCAAACAGTATTCTGTTACTTTTTTTTTTTTTTAAGTTTTATTTATTTGAGAGAGAAAGTAAGAGAGAGCATGAGAGGGAGAGGGGCCAGAGGGAGAGGAACAAGTAGACTCCCTGCTGAGCAGGGAGCCCAACTTGGGGCTCCATCCCAGGACCCTGAGGTCAAAACCCAAGCTGAAGTAAAAGTCAAGACACTAATCCTACTGAATCAACCAGGTGCCCCCTGGTCATCTTGTTTTAAAGCAAAAGTCAAGACAAAGGCTAAAATCATTTTAAAAGAAAGGGCCCCTTAGTTTAACTGTCCCATTTTCTGTGAGGTTACATGACTTGGCAGGATCACTAAAATGCCTTAGGTAAACTCAAGTCTTGTTACTTTTACTCCAATACGTACTTGACAAAAGCAAATATGGATTTTTTAAACAGATAAAGTAGGAGAAGACTGTTTCCTTTACTGAAAGTATAGCTAACAAGCATCTCCTGAATTAGAAAAATAAAAAAAAAAGTAACACGCATATATAACCAATAGAGATATCCTTTCAAGGGGGCTGGGTTAGGAATAGGAGGGAATGTGGGGTGGGGGGAATATGTTAAAAGCGATTTATGTTCTAAGTGAGTACTTTTTTTTTTTTTTTTTTGGTAAGTACTTCTGAACTATGGGATCACTAAATAAGGGTCAGTGCAAATTCGAGTTTATTAAATAACGAAAGTTATACAGTAGTTCTTAAGAACATGTTTATGGAATAAAAGCAATGGTTTCCAAATTGAGAAGTAAGAATTTCTAGGGCTGCATTTGAGGAACTCAAAGATGCTAAAAACAAAGCCAGTGGAAAACCACTGCTCCAGAACCCAGCATTTCAGTGTTTGAAATTATACTACTATTTTAATGATGAACAACAGAATACTTTAGAATACAAAAGGTTCTCTGAGAGCTTGTCTTCAAATGCAACAAGGAAACAGGGGCTTAGGAATAGGCAAATCTTTAGGATGCTGGGGAGGAGGCTGGGAAACAGAAAATGGAAACATTAGGGACAGAGCAGGTGACACAAGGTAAAATGAACTAAAAAGCACACTTGAGTACACTTCAGGCGTGACCCTCTACTTCAAATTCCATCCATAGGACACTATAGAATATGCCTGTTCTGACTGAAGAGTACACAATACAACGGCTAGCTTCAAAGACTGGTAGTGAAATATTCAAATCGTAAAAAAGTTCCACCAAATATACATTTTCATGCCTCTATTTTTAATCCAAATTCCATTTTATTCAAACTTCTTAATCTGATAAAAATTAACTTTTATTTATTTTATTTTTAAAATTATTTTTAAAGTAATCTCTAACCCCAATGTGGGGCTTAAATTTACAACCCTGAGATCAAACGACGCATGCCCTACCAAAGTGAGCCAGCTAGGCACCCCAAAAACTAACTTCTAAATGCATTAAGTAGTTATTTTTTTTTTAAAAAGATTTAATTTATTTATTTGACAGAGAGAGATCACAAGCAGGCAGAGAGAGAGGAGGAAGCAGGCTCCCTGCTGAGCAGAGAGCCCAATGCGGGGCTCGATCCCAGGACCCTGAGATCATGACCTGAGCCGAAGGCAGCGGCTTAACCCACTGAGCCACCCAGGCGCCCCAAGTAGTTAATTTTTAATCTGAAAATCAAATACCTATGAAAAGTACTTGTTTTTTTTTTTTCCCGAACTTTAAAGCCATCAAGTAAAATTCTTAAATATGTGAATGGCAATAGTAGGAAAAATGGTTAATTTCAGATAGCTGGGTCATTTCCCTCTCAAGTAAGTCTCTACACCCTCAAAGGCAAGCAAACTCACTGTAATATTACCCAAATCAAAATAAAAACAGTAAAGTGGGAAAAATAATGTATTTCATTTTATTTATTTATTTGATTTTTAAAGATTTTATTTATTTGACAGAGAGAGAGACAGCAAGACAGGGATCAAAAGCAGGGGGAGTGGGAGAGGGAGAAGTAGGCTTCCTGATGAGCAGGGAGCCCGACGCAGGCAGGACCCTGGGATCCTGACCCGTGCCAAAGGCAGACATTTAACCACTGAGCCACCCAGGCACTGCTCATTTTTAAAAATCAAGTTGAAATGGTATTGTGATTCTTTGATATTCTAATTTATCGAACACTTTCTTCTGTTTTTACATATAATCAACTGAATATTTTTATTACAGATTGATTCACTAACAGTTTTCTCTGCACCCTGTAACTGAGAATACAGAAAATGTCTAGAAACCTATAGTCCTGTCCAAACCTATAGTCCTGTCTTTTCCACTTATTTTATAACCACAATCAAGTGTCCTTTAAGAACCAATTTCTTTAAATAAATTAAGAACAGATACAACTGCTCTAACTCATGAAATTAAGTTTATTCAAACATTCAACACTTCAGATATACCACTCATTGGGATAGGATTCTGAAGTATAAAAGTCTCCAAATAATGGACTTTGCAAATCCCACTTGAATCTCCAACATGAATAATTTACTTATGCTACTACTATACATCAATACAATGCCAATTAATTTTGCTATTAAAGCATTTATAACATAGCTTTTGTTACAACTATATTGTAGGTAAAAGCTGTCAAAATCAATTTATATTTTCAATAGAATCTTTATTATAATTTGGAAAACTCATTCCTGATCAAGGATCTTAAAAAATAACTAAAAAACCCATAAATAAAACAAAAAATGTTATAAAAAGCCACAGAAATTATTTAAATATATGTTTAAGTATGTTTAAGTTAAGAATGGGCATTTGAAACTATGGTTAAAAACTGTACCCCCAGGATCTCCTTTTTTTTTTTTTAATGTAGAAGAGTTTTAGAGGGATGATTAAAATGTTATTGTTTTACTCAAATTCAAGACCTATCTGTCAAATACTACTTGGCCTTCAAGGTTCAATTCAAATTTCATCTCTTTCTGAAGCTTCCCTAACATCTGTAGCCAAGGGTCTGCTGTCAACCAAAGACCGTATGAGATGCTGGAAAAACCATGCCTTCTGAAGTTACTGGTAAACATGGCTTCAAGTAGTAGCTTTTTTACATATTGGTAATTTTATATTCATTTACTTCTTTTGAACTTTAGTTTCCTCATCTGTAAAATGTGCACAATAATCTCTTCCCTGAGGCCTTAGGTAAGGTTTGAATGAAATAAAGTATAGAAACCACCAGCGCCTGTTGTGTAGTATGCACTTAATATATACAAATTACCTGCCATTTAACTTTCCCCCAATGCTTTATGCTTTCATAAGTGCTAAAATAAGACAGCTTATGATAAAAGAGAATATTTAACTCCTGCAAACCCGTTTTCTTCTTAGATATGGAACGATTTCTTTTTTTTTTTTTTTCAAGATTTTATTTGAGAGAGAGAGAGCATCAAAGAGGGAACGTCAGAGGGAGAAGCAGACTCCCTGCTGAGCTGGGAGCCAACAGCAGGGTACTCCACCTGGGATTCCAGGATCACGATCTGAGCCACAGGCAGTTGCTTTACCAACTGAGCCACCAAGGCACCCTATGGAATGATTTCTAATGGCAGTTTTACTGTTACTGCCTTAATTTAGCAAATCACAAATACCAAAATGAGAAAGATGGTAACTTAGTATCACATGTACCAGATTCTTCAATGAAACCTTAGTTCATCCAAAGTAAAGACTATTAAAATCCTGGTAAGTATACTGAATTGTGAAAAAATTCTTCTTTAAAGAGAACAATGCCAATAGAAAAAGGTTTTAAATTTCTCTTCTTTAGTGGAATGTCAGTATTATAGAAAAAGATGTACATTTTATGAAATCAGTTACCAATATGTTAGTATGATGTATTGGTATAATATACCAGTGCTTGGTATTAAGTACCAGTGCTTTCAAATTTAACTACCCAAATTGTATTCCCTCTACTTCTTAAAGTTTGAACAAGAACAGTGGTAAAAATGGGGAAAAACTGAAGGATTCATGCAACTAAAGATTACAACAGAAGTAGTAAACTGCAACCTTAACCAAGCTTATATTGTAACCAACCTAAAGGAGAGGGCTGTCCCCTTATAACTCCATTCTTGGTTCTCTCCTCCAAGTCCATAACTTCTTTGTATATCAACTCTGAAAAAGAAGTGAACAAACTTTTCAAAGTCTGAGCACCAACCTCAGATACCTATGTTTTAAGTAAAACATTTTTACACACATTAACTATAACAGTGTTCTTTCAGTGGCAAAGAGTCCCTTAAGTGTCAGTGTAAGATTCAAAGGTATTAGTAATAATTTCCTGATCCAGAACTATGAACTATACTAAAAGAAACAAAATCTCTGCTATAACTAATGTTTCTAAAGTTGGATTAAGGATAGCGCTGGAGTGAGAAGCCTTATCTTTTTTTACTCCACCAGCATTTTGTACTAAACCATATCATCCTACACATCATACTACAAATGCTCAATTCTGTCTCAGTGAGGCCTTGAATCATGTTTGTCTTATTCACATCTATTTCCTGAGCTGTGGCATAGTACATTAGGTGCTTATCCAGATATCTGTTAAAAGGTTTAAATGTGAGCATGTACTGAAGTTTCTTCAATCAGAATGGAATATAAATACATTTTATTTTTTAAAAAAGCAGGTAGCTACCCTCCAAATCCTTTTGATTTGAAGCATGACATGCTATCACAGTCAAGAAGATTTCTCCATGGAAATCTTGTTTTTTTTTTAAAACTAGACTTCTGTACTTCTTACTGCTCCAAGTGAAGAGACAGCAGATGCTGTCCTGAGGCCGTATGTGCCTCCTGCCCTGTGTTCTTCTATGTCAAGTATGATGCACCTTGTGAGTCTGAATGTCTACTTCAGAAGAACCTTCTAGTGGATGTTACATCACCATTATTCATCTTCTTTGGGTCATGGAATCCTGTGAGAAGTGCGTAAGAGCAATGAACCCTCTTCTAAGAAAAATGTACAAGCAGAACATGTTCAAAGAATTTGAAGGCATTTAACTTCTTAAATTAAACTTATAAAGAATCTAATTATAAAGTAAAATAAGTGGACATATAGGTATGAAAAGGAGCTAAAGACAGCTAAGTTTATTTGCTATGGTAATCTTTTTGGTCTTAGAAGGAGAAAAATAGGAAGTCTGGATAGAGGAAAGAATGGAAGATGCTTTTCTTGAAAGAAACAAAAAGGAATGATAAGTATTTCAAATAGGAGGATTTTTTTTTTTTTTTTTTTAAAGAGAAAACAACACCTGTTTGTGAAAAGGTATTAGGGCATAGGAACCAAAGCTAATCAGGAGTACTAACTAGGCAAAGCATAAGTTAATGGTTCTGGCAATGGGCTTTTCTTTTTGTTATAATGCTAAAACTCTTAAGCAGATCTTAAAAGGCAGTTTGTGGGTAATTGAACTTCACTTGGACTAGGAGAAAAAGATAGAAAATAAAGGTAAACATGTTTAGAGTAATCAAAAATCACAGATACATCTTTACACACAAAAATACAGCTGACTGCTGAGCAACACAGGTTTGAAATGCATGGGTCCACTGATACGTGGATTCTTTTTTCAATGAATACACATACAGTACTGTAAATGTATTTTGTCTTCTGACTTTCTTAATTTTTTTCCCTAGCTTACTTTATTATAAGAATGCAGTATATAATATAAATAATGTAAAAAATATGTGTTAATCAACTATGTTATTAATAAAGCTTCCAGAAAACAGCAGATTAGCAGTTGTTTTGGGGTAGTCAAAAGTTGTATGTGATTTTTCAACTGTGTGTGAGTCAGCACCCCAACCCCTGTGTTGATGGGCCAACTGTACTATGCTTCACTAATTTTAAGATGCACTTTTTCTAGTTTAATAGCTATGAAATGGAGTTGTATCTTATAATCAATGATGCAGTGCAACTGCCAGTGTTTTCTTTTAGAGGTATAATTATGTGTTTCACGACTGGTGGCCTATTAAGAGTACAAGAAACACATAAATGTCAATTGTAAATATAATGATGTATAAAAATATCAGGTAAGATACTTTAATATATACTTTGGTCCACAATTATATCCTTGTACATTACTTATTACATATACAGATGTACTAGGTTCTACTCAATTCTATCATTCTGGTGAAGTCTATAGAGTCTAACTATATGTTTCCCAAAAGTTAACTCAGAGAAAACTAATCTTGGTTATTCCTAAGAAAAAAGGATCAAAATCCTTCTTCCCAAACAGATTCACAGATGGAACACTTGTTCAGGTTTATACCTCCCCACGACCATTAGCCTTTCCAACTATTTAGGTACTTAAGCTCTTAATAACATGTCTCCATTTTAAGATCAGGTAAAGAAGGGACCAAGCGACCTGTCCAAAGTCACATAGCTAAAAGTGGTCAAATTACTAAATGACAACAAATCAAAAGAAAGTAAACAGGATCTAAAAATTGTCTGCCTCAATGATCCAGTGAATCTTCTAAAGAAAGAAATATTTTAACATTTCTATAACAGTGCATTATTAATGTTTACCCACATTCTCAAAGTAGAACTACTATATTAGATCCACAAAGATTAAAAATTAACTCATTCTGTTGGTGAGGGTGGGAGTAAAACAGACATTCCTACACAATGCTGACAGAAATACAAACTGCTATAATTTCTTTGGAGAGTAATCTGAAAATACTTGAAAAAAATCCTTTGGCTTAGCAAATCTCTTTGTAGGATTTTTCTTACAGGCATGTTATTTATTACATGTGCACAAGAAGACTGCAGAGTTGTCTGTAACAACAATAGACTGGACAGAACTTAAAGCTCTTCAAGAGGGAGTGAATACAGAAATTATGACACAGCCATCAACAGAATACTAACCAGCTATTAGACCAAATGAGCCAGATATGTGGGGCAAGACGGAATAATCTCAAAGATAAATGATTATATCAACACAGTAAGTGTGCACAGTATACAGCCATTTGTGATTAACACAGGGTGGGAGAGGAAAAGAGGGAGAAACCAAACACAAGTTTGTATATCTGTACACTATGGAAGAATGTAAATATTCTAGAAAGCATCAAATGTGCCGTGGTGGGAAACCTGAGAGATTCAGATTAAGTCAGGGACAGAGGAGACTTTCTACTTCTGTAAAAATGTTAACAATCTTTTTACCAAGTATCAGTTATGAATAATAGAAAGTATTTTTAATTTCCTTAACATGAATAAATCAATATAAAGATCCATAAGCTCTTTCAGTTTCATCTCTGAGAATCTGGTGAATGTTACCTTTCCATTCTTCTATTGTATGTTCCCTTTCATCTAACTGCTTGTCAGGTATCTTTGGTGGTGGCTGAAAAACACAAGGCAACGATAACTGAGTCAGTTTATTAGGAGTATATAAATTCTTTATAATTATTTGAATTATTAGCCAGACAGAGACTTTAAAAAATACATCATTAGACCAACACTGACCAATCATCAACAATCTTCTTACAAAGCTAGTTTTAGAGGACATTTCATGGCAGGAAAAAAGATCTTTAAATGTCTTTTTCTTTTCTTCTAGTTTTTGAAATTGTCACGTTTATATCACAGAATCATGTTATGCTTTGGACACAAAAGTTCGTTTTGTAACTAGTTTTCCCAAAGTGCTCAACATTCTAGCGCATCACGTACTAAAGCAAAAAGGCAAAAAACAGTGGGATCTAACTTTGTGTGTAGGGTGCTTGGAAATGCTCATTAACTTAAGATGCTATTCATGCAAAATCAGAAAAACACCACAACCATTTATGTATATTTTTAAAATTAAAAAGTCTCCTCCAAACCTATCTTTAATTCAATATATTCTTCAAACATTAAGAAAAGAACTTACAGCTTCTGCTTCAGAAGGATCATACCAGACATTGATATATGGGTGCTGGAGAGCTTCATCTACAGAAATCCTTTTAGATGCATCAATTACCAGCATTTTGGATAACAAATCCCTTGCCTGACTGGCTGTAAAAATAATGATGTTAATGTACATGTTTTTCATAAAAGTTTTTAAATAAATTTTAGAAACTTGAAACTATCATTTATCAAAAAGTGTATGTTTTAAAAAGAATAGATTTTACTACAAAATCGTGCATATGATCAAAAAAATAAAAATAAAATAACAGAAAAAATGAACTAAAACCTTCCACTTTGTTCCCCCACCCAGAGAGAGCACTGGGTTATATCCCTTAAGAACATAAATACATACACATACACACACACACACACACACACACACACACGACAAACACACACACCTCAAATGGGACTAAATATACATGTTTATAAAAAGTACCTTTAAGTTTGTTGTGTTCCGAGTCAGCTGGGAAAAGTACATCGGGGAAGAGTTTCTCAAAGCTATATCCAGCATACTTAGGTCTGTTTTCAACATAAGTCCTTACTGTTGGCTGTAGTTTCTTCATGAATTCAGGGCATGGTGTTCCAAGCTGTTCAATAACTTTATTCCACTGATCAATATCTAATATCAAGTAGCTAAGAAAAATATTCTGTATCTAATGTTCAACACATTAGCCATAGCTATATTAAAATAACAAGAAAATGGCAATTTAAAAAATCCTAAGAAAGAATGTGGCAGTTATAAATCTTCTGTCTTATAGCCACTTTGTAAAAGGCAATGACTGTAGATAGGATCAATTAATAAGCTTTGTTAACCTTACTGTATGTGTGTAACTACTAATACTGATTTCCATTAAAAGAGAAGCTTAAACCCACAAATTCTAAATACAAATGATAAGTGACTCAAGGAATAAAGATAATTACTACCCACAGGACTCTAAATTTAAACTGTACACAATTCTAGAATACCAAATCTATCTTTTTTTCCAGATTATCAGAAAATGTGAATGCATTTCCTGGAGGATAAGAAATTATAATCTGTCCTACATTTTTTTGTTTTCTGCACTAACAGAAAATAACCAGTAGCAATAAAAATGATGGCTTTAACAAAAGTGGCATTTTCTTTTACCATTCTTTGTTTAGCTTATGTTAATTAAAATGTTTTTAAAGCTCTAAATTTAAGACAATGAGACTGCATTTTGGTAAGTCGTGAGGTTAAGATTCTCTGGTCTTTTTCATCCTAGTCTTTATAGTCCAAGTCCTTCGTGCAGACTAACTCAAACTTTCTTATTATAACCCAGTAAGTATGGCTTTTCCCATTCCTCCTCCTACAACAATTCTAAGTGTTACTAACTGATAAACACATAACAGATCACTGTTAATAGAAATACTAAAACTAGTCTGATGAACAAAAAGAATGGTTCCAAATCTACTCACCACAATATAAAACTATTACTGCTAAAATTCTCAGATGAAAAAAATCAGTATGTTATGTTGAGCAATGAGACAACAACCAAAAGCCACAAAACACACAGGACATTAACAAAAGAGGAGGTGGCTGGGGGAACAAAAGGATGAACAGAAGCAAAAGACAAGTCTAAAATTCATATTAAATCCTAAGTACTTCTAGACTTACTCAAGTGTATAATTATTAGAAATTTTAATGCAAGCCATGATTTTTGATTTAGGTTAAACAACTCAAAGCCAGCAAGTAATTGTGGATAATTAACTTGAGCAGTTGTCAGAATTAACATATAAAACAATAAATGAGGGAAAGGAAAGTCTATGTCAAATAGCAGGTGGTATTTTGAAAGAGTAATTTAACAATATTTTATTATTAGGGAGCGACAAAACACTATACCTGACCAAGATGAAGTGCTATCATACATTTGACCTTTAGAAACTACATTTTAGGCCAAAGATAAGGATACGATCTGTACCTGGGAACAAAACACCACCTTTGATCATTTCTCCCATGATGCACCCAACTGACCAAATGTCAACTGAAAACAAAATGCAATGACATTAACATAAAGATTTTGGTTAAAATTAAAAAAAAAAAAATTTAAACATTAAAAAAAATCACATACACCATGTATACTTTAAAATTATAGAAAGCAGTATAAAATAAAAATGAATGACAGAGAATGTGCTCTAACTACCAGCAGAGACTGTATGTCCTACTGCCAGATGCAGCCTACAGATAGTTCGGCTTCTTGTCTCAACAATTTTTGAACTATAACAGCCACAAACTTTATATTTGTTTAAAGAAACCCGTATGTATGAATGTACTATATTTATTTTCATTAGAAAACATAAAGAAGTTTATCACCTAACTAATTTAACTGCTGCAGCAGCACAAGGATACAGTCCCTTCCTGGAAAGAGGATTTTGTGGCAAACCATTTCTCCCATAATGCACCCCACAGACCATAAATCCACTATATGTTTGCAGCACAAAAGAAGGAAAAGCAAAGCAAAACGTCGTTAAAATCAAAGAAGCATAATATGACTACATATATAAAAACTGCAAAACATCACAAAAAGAAAAAAGTGATTTTAATTTTAGCTAATGGAATAATTTAAAACACAAAATATTTTTCAAAAGGCTTTGACTCACAAAAGCAAATGTGAAGTATATAGCCTTTTAACTACATATCTAATTTTAAAGTGAGAGCTATGCACAGAAATCACATAATTGATAAATCTATACATTCTGTCTCTAAAAATTGTTTATAAAATATGAAACAACTGAATACATCTTTGCAAATAAGGCTGAAAATGAACATGAGGCAGCAAAATTTAAAGTTATTTAAATACTATTTTGAAGTTCAACTGTGCATTATACTCTCTCTTTAAGTCAAATTAAAAAAAAGCATGAGCAGAAATAATCTAGTATATTAAAATATTTAACAGAAAAATGTGTTTCTATGAGTCATTATAGTTAAAAAGTTAATTAAAAGCTCTTCAGAAATTTTCAAACTGGATTTCAAACTGGATAATTTTATTTGAAAAGTCCTATGTTTATTCTGAATTAAAAGTTATTGTTTTCTTGGCAATGTCATGCTACTTTTACCCTATTATCCCAAAAGGAACAAGTGCATAAAGAATGAACAAATAATCAATGAAGAAAACTTTGTAAAAAAGTATATTTTATGTTTTCCACCTAAAGGTTTTTAAACCCATAAAACCAAACTGTTTTGGTTTAAGAAGTTAGTTTTCATTGGATTTAATATTTTCCACAGATTTATTACCTAAAAAGGTCTCCTCGTTGACCTACTAACCCTCATTAACTTTTAATGGGAGCTCTAATCAATGCTGAAAAGAATCTGCTAGACCAAAAAAAAAAAAAAAAAGGCAATTTGGAGATCTCCACTTGGTTCATTAATACACCCTGACATTTTATATCTCTGGTTTGAAAATTTGGTTAAAAAAAAGAGGAGGAGGTAGCTAGATTCATTGTGGTGATCACTTCATAATGTATATGATAACTTGAATCACTATGATGTACACTTGAAACTAACAATAACATTATACGCTTATTATATACTTCAATTTTAAAAAAAGAGTAGGTGGTTGCAGTTTAATAGAAGAGGGGAAGAATAAGCAATTTAAAAAGAAAGCCTTAGAAACTTCCATTTGTTTTTGAAGTTTCAAGATCCTTTTTAAGAGCAAAAGAAGAAAGGGGAAGAAGTAAGTGTTAGGGAGAGGTGCCCATGCTGGTGGACTTATGAAATCAGAAGTCTGTATTTTCTAATAAAGTTAGCATACAGAGACTGCCAGCCCATTAAACAATTTTAGTAACAAAGGTGGGAATAAATTTTGGAAATCCTGTAGAACTAAAGTTTCTTTAAAATTTCTTATTAAAATTCATATGAATCTACATGATTCAACTTTTAAGAATAAAATTTTAGAGGAAAAGGTAATACTCATAAACCAGTTCAGAGAACAATTCTCTTCCAGGGTTTTGATTTTTGGAATAAATCTACCACAGTAAATTTTCCCTATAGATTTCAGAGAACGACAAACTTTAAATATCCAGGACAAAATTTATGTAGGTAACCTTAAGAAAAACATTTTTTTAAACAAATTTCAAAAGCTGCAAGCATGAGAAGATATTGTCTGGGTTAGTGAAAACTTTCTCAAAATATGGTATAACTGATTCAAACACAAAGCTAGCTTTAAATGGCCTAGCTGCTTACTCTATTAGTTTAAATATATTCCATTGTATTACAGTTTGCAAAAAGCTTTATGGTAGCTTGCAATAAAAGACAAAACAAAGTTGTTAAAACAAGTGGGGGTGGGATGTTACTGAAAGAAGGAAGTTCTAATGTTTAACCTTACTGCTAATGCTATCATGATTAAGCATTATATTTGATTTTGTTTCCTGAGGCAAAAAAGGGCAATTAAGTGGTCTATACAATTCCCATCTAAGACAGGAAAGCATGTCACTTCTTTATACGATAGTTTGTCTTGGTGCTAATTTCTGGTAGGAAGCTATCTCCAAGATCACATTTATAGGACACTGAGTGACACAGTATCTGTGAAAATTGATAGCTTTATAGCAAATGCAAAAGCAATCTTCATGATTGTGACTGGAAGTCTCATTTCTCAAAAGAAAAGAGTCCAATACTAAATCCGACTCACTGAATTCTAAGGTATAAAACAATTTTAGAAAGTAAGAAAATATAACAGCATGTTAAAGAAAAGAATAATCATAAATACTTAAAGTATTTATTTTTAATTAATTCAGAAAAGCAAAGGAAATTAAGCTAAAATCCTCAGTTCAATGTTGTCTTTTAAAAAACACATCTTGAAGGGGCGCCTGGGTGGCTCAGTGGGTTAAAGCCTCTGCCTTTCGGCTTGGGTCATGATCCCAGGGTCCTGGGATCTAGCCCCACATCGGGCTCTCTGCTCAGCGGGGAGCCTGCTTCCTCCTCTCTTTCTCTGCCTGCCTCTCTGCCTACTTGTGATTTCTGTCTGTCAAATAAATAAATAAAATTTTAAAAAAAATAAAAAAAATAAAAAACACATCTTGAAGACTGAAGTAATAGTTTCTTGATTCAAAGTGAACCGCTGTTTCAGATTCCTTGCTAAAAAACACACCTAAGGTCCTATTCTAGGGAGTATTTTGGATGAAATTACCAGATTTCAAAAGTTATAGTTTAAGTCCATAATAATCCTGTGCAGTTTATTTACATCCTAAATATCTGAGATTCAACAAAACTCCTTAAATTACATGTATGTACACACATATATAGAACATTTTAAAAAATACGTGAATACATGCCTGATAATTTTCTTCAACCTTGATTCTAATGCTGAAATATTTAATTGAATATACCCACATAAAATAATGCCATCTTTGTAAGGTGGGACACAAGGCTTTGATGAAATACTGTTTCTTCTGAAAGATCACCTTAATTAATTATCTCATCAGCTCTGCAGATTGGCCTCACTGTAGCTCTTAAAGTTTATACTAAGTGTTATAACTTTAGTTTCGTAAGGTTGGAAGTATGTTCAAATTATCACTAATGCAAAGTAGGATTATACTAAAGATAAACTGTCAGTACACCATATACTTCCTTGAGCCCCTGTTAGAAATACTCATTTTCAAGTTATAGGCAAGTGAACGGCATATATGTTTTAGGAGCCATAGCAATAAATCCTTTATCCAGTTGTAGTGTTGATAGTTATGTACTTATATTTAAATAAACAGGGGCCCCAACTTTTTCCAAACATTTATAACAAAATTTATAGTTACTTTCAAACTTTTGATAAACATTTCAGTGATACATTTAACTTCTATGCACTTCAGCTTAAATATTTACACAAGAAATCTGATAAACAAAAGCAAAAAACGGTATTTCAAGTAAATAGTGTTTGCTGACCGTTTTCTTTGTAGCCCATCCCTAGGATGACCTCAGGTGCTCTGTAGTAGCGAGTCACTACGTAAGGTGTCATCATAAAACTAGTTCCTGCAGTCCTGGCCAGTCCAAAATCAAGAATCTTCAAAGTGCAGTCTGATTTTACCACGATATTACTGGGCTTTAAGTCCTTCAAAATATTAAAGACAGAAAGTGACTGCTATGATATATACAAACATTTTACAGTTCACAAGTTATTAGATCACTTTTCAAAAAAAAGATTTTATTTATTTATTTGACAGACAGGGAGTGAGTGAGTGAGCATGGGACGGGCCAGAGAGAGAGAGAAAATCTCAAGGAGACTTCTTACTGAGCGGGGAGCCTGACATGGGGCTCCATATCATGACCCTGAGATCATGACCTGAACTGAAATCAAGACTTGGACGCTTAACCCACTGAGTCACCCAGGTGTCCCACTATTAGATCACTTGTAAAACAATTCCTGATAACTACTATAATTTCTCTCATTATAATCAACATTACTACTCAGATTCATCATAACAGGCAATTCTGAAAAACTAGCTTCATGGCATTTTTCACTTATGAATACATACATACACATTAGAGAATTTGTAATGTTTTATTTTTCTAGAAATTGTGATTAGCTAGAAATTATCAATGAAGTGCAATAAAAGCAATTTGTAAGGCATTTCGAAGTTATTATAGTAAAAAGAGAATCGTTAAGCTAGCATTTATGCTCACTTGTGTACTAAATTACCAGATTTTTAAAAAATCTCATTTTTAGGGCAGCCCAGGTGGCTCAATTGGTTGAGTGCCCAACTCATTAATTTCAGCTCAGGTCATGATCTCAGGGTCATGGGTTCCAGCCTGCGGGCTCTGCACCGAGCAGGGAGTCTGCTTGAGATTCTCCCTCTCCCTCTGCCCTTCCCTCTGCTAGTGTGTTCTCTCTCAAATAAATAAATAAAATCTTTTAAAAAATGAGATTTTTTACAAAATACATTATCTCAGCAAAGTAACACAGCCTGTTCAAGAATTACATATGGCAAGCTTTGATACCACTTCAGTGTCGACTGTGATGGGTAAAGACTGATGGCTCTTTATACTACTGCATTCTAGCCTAGAAATAAGATTCCAACCTTAAATACTTTATTTTGGAAAGGTTAAGAGCACAATACAATTTTTTTAAGAAATAATTTTTATCAAGAAAAAACAGTTAAAAAAATGCTTCAAAAATATTGCCTGAAATTCATCTTTGTATAACAATCTATACCTTTCTACAGATGTTACTAACATTGCTAATTATATATGAGAAGAATAAGTTAATTTGTATAAATCTGTGGCAGAGGAAATAGAACTAACTTAATATTCCAACTTCTCCCCCATACATACATACATACATACAGCTTCCTTTACATGCAAGGCCTAACCGTGATTAGTTCTAGTCAAAAGGATGGAGTGGGAGCAAAGAATAGAAGGGCCATGCACAACATCCTGTCATCTCTTCCTCTGCTTTATTGATTAGTGCCATTCCAGGTGGACCAGGTGGACCATTCCGTCAGCTGAGGTTGTTGAGCACCTAAGTAAGGCAGAATCCTTTCCCCACCATGATCTGCCCTGGACACAGAGTATGGAAAATAAACCTTAGTTGTGTTAAGCTACTGTAAATTTAGGGTTTGTCACCTTGGCATAGCCTAGTGGTAACACTGTAATTTATAATAAGAAATACATATTTGGTCTTTGTCCCAACTACTGACACAGAGCTCCTAAAACCCTTAGAATTATCTAAAAGGTAAGAGCAAAACAGATGAAAGGAGGGCCTTTTGTTATTCATAAGAAGTCCCTTTCCAGGCACCTGGGTGGCTCAGTCAGTTGAACACAGGACTCTTTTTTTTTTTTTTTTTTTTAGGACTCTTGATTTTGGCTCAGGTCATGGATGATCTCAGAGTTGTGAGACTGAGCCCCACATGTCTGGCTCCAAAAGATTCTCTCTCACTTCCTCTCCCTCTGCATCACTCCCTCTCTCATCCCTGTACTCCTGCTCTTTAAAAAAAAAAAAAAAAAAAAAAAAGTCCCTTTTGACCATACAGGAGTTTATGATATGAGGTCTTTTGGAAAGTTCCAAAGGATGGGGGCTGGTTGCGGGGGCGGTGGGGGTGGGGTTGGGGGGTGGGGAAGACAACAAACTAATTAAAGGGTTGGAACTTCTAGCATTTCTTAGCCCACACCTCCAAGGAGAAAGAGGGCTAAAGCCTGAGTTCCATCATCAAAGGCCAATGATTTAATCAATCATGCCAGGTAATGAAGTCTCCATAAAAAAACAAAAGGACTGGTAAGGAGAACTTGTAGGTTGCTGAACATGTAAAGTGCTGGGAGACAGGTACACCCAGAGAGGGCATGGAAGCAGTTCCCCTTCCCATTTACCTTGTCCAATACCTCTCTCCATCTGGCTGTTTTTGAGTTATGTCCTTTGTAATAAACTGGTAATCTAGTAAGTAAAATGTTTTCCTGATTTCTGTGAACCACTCTAGTAAATTAATTGAGCCTGAGGAGGGGGGGTTTTTGCAAACCTCTGAATTCCAGCCAGTAGGTCAGAACCACAGGTAACAACCTGGGATTGAGATTGGCATCTGAACAGCCAGCACTTGTAGGACTGATCCCTTAACCTGTTGGATCTGATGCTATTTCCAGGTAGGTAATATCAGGATTGAGTTAAAATACAAGACACCCAGCTTGTGTCCAGAGAACCTGGACTTGCTTGTGCGGGAAAAACTACCACACATTTGGTATTAGAAGTAATAATATAAGAGTAAAGGAGACACCTAGAAATGTTTCTCCTTTAAACCTGTCTATTCCAACCATAAGTGACTCTTAATCTCACAAAACAAACTGAGGGTTGCTGGGCAGAGGGGGGCTGGGAGGGGGGGGGTTATGGACATTGGGTAGGGTATGTGCTATGGTGAGTGCTGTGAAGTTTGTAAACGTGGAGATTCACAGACCTGTACCCCTGGGGGAAAAATATATATATATATATGTTTAAAAAAAATAAAATTATAAAAAAAAAAAAACCTGTCTATTCCAACACTGAAATTAGTGTCAGAAATGGGGTGTTACTATTATGAACACAGGATCATAGCTTAGCAGCTTTAGCAGCAGGCAGCAGGGAAACTAATACCAGAGGTTGGACATGCGATTCAGGTTATGTAATAGCAATACATTTCATGATACTGCCCCTTGCAATAACTTGGAAAGCACAGCACTTGCATAATTAACCTGAAACTCTAGAACAAGGGTTGACAAATTAAGGCCTGTCTGTTTTTGTGAAGAAAATTTTATAACACAGTCCTGCCCATTTAACCACATACTGTATACAGCTGCTTCTGTGCTACAATGGCAGGAGTTGAATAGCTGTGAGACTCTATGACCTGCAAAGCCCAAAATATTTACTATCAAGACTTTATAGAAAAAGGTAGCTGATCCCTGCTCTAGAAGAGATTGGAAAGCAAAACTTTAGTAGTGTGTTGGTGGCTACTGGCAGCATTTGAAAGAATTGGCCAGTTTAAAAACAGAAATGAAAGGGAATCAGAATCTAGAATTTTAGGACCTTGCCATTCTAGAAAAATTAAATGTTACTAAACCCTTAAAAAAAAGGGCAGATTGTACAGTAAATCTCTTACCCACCAAACTCAAGATATAGATATTCCTTGACTTCATAATGGGGTTATGTCCCAATAAACCCTTGTAAGTTGAAAATATCATAAGTTAAAAATGCATTTAATACACCTAACCTATCAAACATCATAGCTTAGGCTAGTCTACCTTAAACATGCTTTGAACACTTATCTTAGCCTATGTTGGGCAAAATCATCTAATGCAAACCCTATTTTATAACAAAGTATTGGAATATCTCATGTAATTTATTGAGCAGTGTACTGAAAGTGAAAATCAGAATGACTCTATGGATACAGAATACTTGTAGGTGTAGCTAACTGGGAGCTGTGGCTCACTGTTGCTGCCCAGCATCAAGAGAGATTAGTGTACTACATACTGCTAACCCAGGGAAAAAAAAAATCAAAATTCAAAGTATGAAATGCATATCACTTTTCACACCATTGTAAAGTAAAAAAATTAGGTTGAACCACCATAAATGACCACCTGTACTCTTCCATTTTATTAATGAGCCTTGAGAGATTGTTGAGGCAATCAAATGTGAGGGAATATGATGTTCACCAAATCTAAAAAATATACTTGAATTGATTAAATACACTTGATTTAGCTTGGTTTCTCCTCTGCTATCTTTCACCATGAGAAAATCATGTGCCTCAGGGAGCCAGCCACTCCTTCAGCTTGGATGCTGAAAGCTGAACAAGGACAAACCCTGTCTGACCCCATGATCTGGAGCAGTGCCACACAACCAACCTGCAGAGCCCTGAGCAAGCAATGTTATGTCAAGCCACCAATACTTTGGATTTGTTTTTCATGCATTATTTGCACATAATAAATCTGAAAACCCTTGAGGGAAAAAGAACTGCATTCTTTCAGTTGATGAAAATGTCTCAGATTTGCCAACAGAAAAGCCTGAACGTTTAAAGGCAGACATGAAGTCAAAGATAAACAGCCAGGGACTAACAAATATGCTATGAAAATAACTGAATTAAAAAGAAGGTTTCTAAGTTTCTGAGAGAGCTGTACTATCAAAAACTCCATTAGGCTGTGACTTTTCTAGCCTGAAAACAATGGTTTTCAATTCAGGGCAATTCTGCCCCCAGGGGATAGTTCGCAGGGTCTGGAGACATTTTTGTTTGTCACAATTGGGGAGTACTGGTGGCATCTAGTGAGTAGAGGCCAGGAATGTGCTAAACATTCTACAGTACACAGGATAGCTCCTCAAAAGAAACAACTCTTCATTCAAATCATCAACAGTGTCAAGACTGAAAAGGACTGCCTTAAAAGGACACTTGGGCCCCCAATCTTGTACAGATAGTAAGCTAAGAAAGCTGAGCAGACCCCAAGGAGAACACATTTTCCAATAACCACTTTAGATATACTCAAAAAGACAGTAGAAAAGAAAGACTCTTCACAGAGTGGAGCCAGGTACTATACGAGAACAGTGGACAGAGCATTCCTTGCAGAAATGAGATTTAGGGACTAACCAACCCTCACCCCCACTTT